AACATGTCTTAAGCCTTCAATTAATGCCATTGCTCCAAGCTGTAAAATTACAGTGAGCTTTGTTATTTTCCTGGACCACTATAGATTTGTTCCACAATCAAAACACTAAGATCCTGAAAGCAAGGTCAACTAAGCTTTTGACATTTACATTTCAATGTGTCAAAAAAAAAGCATATCTGGGAAAGTAAAGTACCCAAGGACTACCACATAGTTCTAATGATAAAGTACTCAAGGTCAGCAATCATTTGCCTTCTCTAGGTAAGTAATGCCCTATTACTAAATACAGTACTAATAGAACTGGGACAACTTTACTACAGTAGACTTAGTACCTTCTTATCCATAAGGAATACAGCCCAAGACCCCTAGTGAAACCTTAAGGTATGGAACACTGTATGTTTTGCTATACACCCATACCTAAAATAAAGTTTAATTTATAATTTATACACAGTCAATGACTCGCAACAATGGCTAATCAAATAGAATATACCATAACAAAAGCTATATGATCTCTCAATGTGTCTTTCAAAATTCTTTGCACTTTCAATGCAAGCAAGTACTTTATGGTTTCTTTTTTGGTATATGTGAATGCTGGCATCATGACTCTTTGGAGCCATTATTATGTAACTTAAGAATTTCTTAAACCCAGATCTTTACTATATTGAGTCAGTGATCTGATAATGAAGATGACTAGTAAGTGACTGATGAGTAAGTTGCATTATACATCATGATATACTGGACAAAGGGAGGATTTTCACATCTTATACTCTAGTTTCTCTTCAGATCGCATAAATCTTTCGCCTTTTAAACTGGATGGGACAGGATGGATAGAATGTATCAGGATAGCCTTGAGATTTCATCATGCTACTCAGAATGGGTTACAATTTAACATTTACAAACTGCTTATTTCTGGAATGTTTCCTCTAGTATTTTCATGCCACTGTTGGCCACAAGTAACTGAAACGGCAGTGAAACTTCTGATACAAAGGCTCTACTGACATTAGATAATCTACGCTAGAAAAGGAAATCATTTCTACCTATCATTTTCAACTACAAAGCTTTACAACTACCACTGCCTTAGTAGTGTTGCGGTCTCCTAAACAAGAACCACAAACCAACCTGCCTCGTACTTCCACTTCATAGGAAGAAATATGAATTACACAGGATTTCTTTTCAGGAAATTCAGAATCCTTCTGCCTCTGTTTACTAAACTAGATTACAAGCATGTACCACCAAGTCACCAGAAAATTATTTTGATCAGTTAAACTTAATAGAGTTTTTAAGTAAAACCAAGGATTTGAGAACTGAGCAGGTTTAGAAAACTCTAGCCACTAATATAACAGTTACAGAACAACACATAAGAAGCAACAAAACAATTAGGTTGATTACAGCTTATTCTACCAAGAAACTGGCTACAGCCTAATTAGTTGATTGTCTACAGATTTATCAGAAGGTGTCAGGACCTTCTCAGTTATTGTGATTGAATTGTATATTGGTATGGTCTGTGGGACCCAAAGCAGAAGCTGGTGTAAATCCATGGCACCTCACCATTCTATTAACAACATAAACACATCTTCCTGAAGATGGAAGGCAAAAGACAGTGAATTCAAGGCTAGCCTGGGATACATAGCAGGACTTTGACCTCCAGCAGGTTTTCCCAGGCAAAAATAAAAAAATAAAAAATCTTTAATACCAAACAAAACTGAAACTATGACAATTCAATAGCTTTTGAAGTCTAACCTCAGCCTCATTTCAAATGCCAACAACCAAGCCTGTGAAATTCACAACAAATACACAATGGATACTGTTGCATGATGTTTTTTCTTTTTGTTTTTTTTTAAAAGGAACTAATTCTAGACAGTGAAGGACTTAGGCAGAAAACCTGAAACCCAGATAAAAGCCCCTGGAGGTGACTACTAGATGAGACTTCTTGAGGACTTTGGAAGCGACAATAAATGGCACTAACTGTATTTACTGATACTAAAGCAACCACAACTTCTGTGTAGTGAGGCCTTACTAAAAAGTAAGCCAACACCATCTATCCCAGGTAACTCATAGGAACGTTCAGAGAGAATGGCATGATGCTAAATGAGTTAAATGTGTGAATGAACTGCAATCATTTTCACAAATCATCCTATCCAGATTATAATTCTTATTTGGAATGTTTTAAAGAAAAAGCAGCAGCTAAGAGGCCAAAATAATTACTCATCCTAAAATAGTGGCTTTTCCCCATATGATAATTTGCAACAGAAACAATGCAAATAGGATGGAGGGTATGAACTAATTTTAATTAAAATAGATATGTAAAAAGAGTATGACACGGTCTTAGTTTGCGTTGCTAAAAAACAATACTTGAGACCTGGTACATCACAAAGAGGTTTACCTAGCTCACTTATACAGGCCTAAAACAGAGATATCTGTCTGTCCTCTGGTGAGGGCTACATAGTGACATCATATTATGGTTACTTAACATTATGGCTAAAGCATATGAGAAATGGACATAAAAGGGCAAGCAAGAAAGGTCATGCTCATCCTTTGCAAGTATGCACTCTTGTCTATCACCAACCCAGCTTCCACTAAGGAAGCAAGCATTAATCCCTTTTATGGACCTAATCACTTAGTAAAGGAATCACATCCAACTACCATGGATTCATACCACGGCACATAAAGCTTTGGAAAACAAACCATAGCCCAGAATTAATGATTCAACACAAGTGATCTTTTTTTTTTTTTTTGGCTGGTCGTGGGGCCTGAACTCTGGGCCTGGGCACTGTCCCTCAGCTCTTCAGCTCAAGGCTAGGACTCTACCACTTGAGCCACAGCGCCATTTCCAGCTTTTTCTGCTTATGTGGTACTGAGGAATTGAACCCAGGACCTCATGCATGCAAGGCAAGCATTCTACCACTGAGTCACCTTCCCAGCCACAAGTGATTTTTTAATGTGTGGATTTTTGAGAGCTGCTCTGCCCCACTGAAAAGGCAAAAGATTATAATTAGTTTGAGGCCAGCTAGGACCAAACTTTTGAGACAAACTCGTCTCAAAACAAATACCCTTTTATATCATACCATGGTCAAGAAAATAGAAAAAGGAAAGAGAAAACAAGAGAAAAAGGAAGGAAGGAAGGAAGGAATTAAAGCCATAGTTTCCTTTAGATTTTGCACCTAACTTGTACTGGGATGTCACAAAAGCATCTCTCATCTTTACATTCTCATTTGTAAAATATGAAGTTATACTAAATTTCTTTAAAATGACCAGTTATGGCTAATATAAACCTTTGAAAATTACAGAGGACAGGGGACTTCTTTTGAATAGTAACATGCAAAGATGAAAACTAAACTAGGCCTTCCTGGCTGTTAGAATTATGAGTCATGATATAATTAGTTTTATAGTAAGAAATTTACCTCCAAAACCTAACAATTATAACACATTAAGATCACTCCCAGTCATCTCACAAATACTCTTATCTAGGATAAATCTTTACACCACGTATGCCTCTTTAACATTCCAAGTTTTAAAAGAAAGAACACTGAACCTTCAACAAACATGATCACACCTATACGTATGTGTGAGGTCTTCACTTTTATCCACAGTCTATCAATGTGTTCTGTAATCATAGCTCCTAATTCAGCGTGTTTCTTTAATTATAGATCCTAACGTGGGAGTTTATGGAACTGAGTATCTAAATACTGAAAAAGCTGAGGAAAAAAAAAAAACAAAAACAAGAGGAACAAGGTCAATACCAACAGGACCACTTAAAGGATGGTGGAGGGGGGGAGACAGAAACAGGAACACGAAGACAGCAATCTGGAGAAAAATGAAAGAATGTTCCCCCCTTTGCAAGCATTACACTAAACTTCATTTTTAGATTAGTCATGCTGCTCTGAGACTTTTCCACGCTTCCTCTAGACAGCTGCCAATGTTCGCATGGCCTCCAATGAATAAGCATGCTGTGGCTTGGTTCAAAGGAAACGTCTGTCATGTTCCAGGGAAAAATGACTTCTTCACTGTTCAATAAGGAAAAGGTTACAACTCTTATTCACTAGACACAAAGTCAACTTTTCCTTAACATTTCTACTTCTGGGATGTTCATGTACTCCTCAGAGCAGTTCTGCATCCAAATTAAGAATGAAAGAAAAGGAGGGGGGAGAGGAGAGGGAGAGTTACACGACAGCCATGGGACCTCTTACTTCGGGAGCACAGAGGTTGCACCTGAACTATTCTCCCGGACCCAAGTCATCCCTTGCAGAACTACCTGTACTCATTGCTATTTACCCAAACGCTTAGCAGGGTGACTGATTAGCATAGCTGGCAAGAAGGTATACTTCATTTAATATTAACTTACCACGTGACCGGCCCCTTCCTCTCCAAAGTCCCTCAAACACCAGAGGATAAAAAAGAAAAGTACGGTGGTGTGCAATCCCGACTTTGCGCTGGGATTTGGCATCAGCAATTGGCCACACACACACACACACACACACACACACACTCACTCACTCACAGGTGAGCACTGGGCCAGCTCCCGGAACTGTCATGCGGGCTGACAGCTGGCCCGTCCCGCAGCCCTCTGCCCACTTCCAGAAAGCCCCCTCCCTATGGTCACCTTCACCTTGCTGGCCTGCCTGGGGCCTCAGTCCTTGGCCAAGAAAACTATTTTTTTTAATCCCTTCTCAGTGTTCACTAACAGGTATCGTCCCCCAACAAGGGGCCCTTTGTTGCAAATTTCGTTCCCGGACTCCTCTCCCAATTCTTGGCATTCAGCTGGCCGTCGTCAACCCAAGGCAGCCCCAGTGGGAAAGCGATCAAAATTCACCCGAACCTCCTCCTCCCCCCCCCCCCACCCAGAGAGGCCTCCCCGGCCGCGTGGAGGACGCGCCACGGGGAGTCAGGCCGCCGACGGGGCAGGGAGGAGGTAGCCAGGTAAAGCGGCCGCGGCCTCCCTGCCCGCAGCCTCCCTGCCCTGGGCCTCCCCAGCGAGCGGCAGCGGCGCAGCGCAGCGGGCTTACCCTGGTGCGGCGGCGAGCGGCGTGGGCACCGAGGGGGCGTCGTGCGCGCGGGCAGATTGGCCGTCCATCGCCCTGCGGGGCGCTGCGCGGGCTCCAGCTCTGAGTCGGCGCGTCACTGCTGGGGTGGGAGAGGCCGGCCGGTCAGGGCGGGACGCGCGCCTTCCCAGGCCCGACAGGGGCTGGACGCGCGTCAAGAGTCCGCCCGACCCACTACGGCCCCGAGCGGGCCCGCCCTCCCGGGGTGCGCCTCCACCTGCGGGGCCGGGCGGGATGGCCACAGGTTCTCCCCCGGCCGCGGCGGGAGGCGGCGCTGCAGGCCCCCGCCCCGGGGAGAGGGGAGGGTCATGGGGGAGCCATTTGGCGCCTGTCGGGGAGGGACCGGCGAAGCCCGGACTCGAAGAGGAGGAGGAAGAGGAGGAGGAGCGCGGCTAGGCGCACCACAGACCCGCCGCCACGCCGGCTACGCAGCCCCGGCTCCTCCGGCCGAGTTTACACCAGCAAAACGCCCTGGGAAAACTTTTCCCAAAGACAAGTTGGGAAGGCGAATCTTGCTTTTCCGAGTGGCTCGCCCTTCTCCCCACCGGCCCCGGCCCGCGCGCGACCCGCTGGCCTTTCAAGCCGGGATATGAACGGAGGGTAAAGCGGCCGCCTCTCCTCACCCAGGCTCGGCCCGGCGCGGGCGGGAGCGGGGCAGAACCAGCGCCGCCTCCCGGGGCCCGCGGGCGGGAAAGCCGGGCGCCGCGGGGCCTCTCCCCCACCCCGAGCCCGATCGCTCGTTGGCTGGATCACTCCCCACCTCACTCCCTCACTCACCCTGCCCCATGTCCCTGCCCGGAGCCCGGGAACTCGCAGCCGCCTCCACCGCCAGGCCGCCCAGAAGTGAGCTCGAGGTGGGCGGCATCGGAGCGAGCGAGGCAGCGAGCCGGAGAGGGGAACGGGGCGGGCGGGTGCGCCAAGCGAGTCGGAATTTCCTTCCCCCCGGGGCTTCGGCTTTTCGGGGTACGGCTGGGCACGGGAAGCGCCCACGCGGAGAGTTCCCATTCCCACCGCTAGGGCGTCATCCAGGGAAGCCTGTCGGGCCCTAGCCCCGGCAGGTGGGCAGAGGGCTGCATACTAGCCGGGGGCACCGGAGAGGGAACCTAGACCGCCGCGGAAGTACCCGGGACCAGGCCTGTAGCTTGCCCTGCCGGCAGCCTGACCTTCGCCATCCAGGTCTTTTTTGATCTATTTTTGTTTTTTACCTGACCTCTGTTGTTCTGATCTCCACGCGCACACCTGTGACGCCCGGATCGCTTTAATGGGTGGCAGGTTTAAGCTTGTCCCATCTTCTCCAGGCATATTATTGTGTTAAGCCTGAACAGCTGTGACGGTGAGAGTACTCGGTAATTACTGTATCTGATGACAATCTCCCAACCGACAGAGAAGGGGATGGTAGATTTTACTCACTTCTTGGAAATTTTACAGGAATAGAGAAATTGAATAAACACCCCCTCCCCGAAGTGTGTTTGTATATTTCAGTGCTGATGTGTGTGCTCTTTAGCGGATCCTCTCACCTGACAAACAGGTATACATGCTCATACGCACCGAGTGTTTCAGGTCTTACTAATGGGCCCAAAAGCTTGCTTCCAGAAAACCGTGAGATTGCGAAAGGAGCTGGAAGCAGCAACTAACCATCTATGTTAGCCATTGACGTTGCCTGGATAGTGCAACAGGGACAGGTTTTAATAGTAAACCAGTAGGTATTAAAATTAAACTGTGGAGCCCGGTGCCAGTGGCTCACGCCTGTAATCCTAGCTACTCAGGAGGCTGGGATCTGAGGATCAGGGTTCAAAGCCAGCCCAAGCAGAAAAGTCTGCCAGACCCTTATCTCCAGTAAACCACTAGAAACCCGGAAGTGGTGCTGTGGCTTAAGTGGTAGAGAGCTCGCCTTGAGCTGTAGAGCGCAGGGACAGCACCCAGGCCTAGAGTTCAAGCCCCACGACCAACCAAAAAAAAAAGTTAAACTGTGGAAGTGTCACTATGGCTCGCTTAAGCTTTGAGCACTAAGAGGCTCGGAGACAACGCTCAGACTTTGAGTTCAAGTCCCAGGACCGGCAAATACTAAATGAAATTAAACTGATATTTAGAACCCATGTTTCATTAAATGATCTTTTAGTTGTTTATTTATTATAGCAACTGATTTAAAAATAATGTTGCTGGCATTAAGTAAAATACTGAATGCTGCCTAGTAATATGCCAGTAATAGGTAGATATCTCGCTGCATCTTTGCATATGAAATGCAGAGGGATTGTAGCTTTTTTTGGGGGGGGGTCACAATATTGTAACCTCACGAAAAGTTGCTTTTAAATATTTTGACTAATGATACCAAAGTCATTTGTTTCACTAACTCTTCATGTTAGACTTTCAACAACTCAGTTAAACAGTTTCAACAATCATTTTTAGCTCCAAACGACCAGATTTTACAGTTGCTTAAATAGCCAATGATATAAATAATAAGTAACAGTGAAACATCTTAAAACTTGTGACTTCCAAGATCAAGATTAATATTTCAATTACTTTCAACCCTAATTTGTGACATACTAATCACATTATGGACTTCATTAGGGTAATCTTAAAACATTTTCTAAATGCTAAGGGCATTTTCCATGACCATCTGTTTATTCCTGTTCTCCTGGTCCCAAGCATGAGGAAGATTGTACTGTCCGTGCTGAAGTTAGGTATAGACAGATGACTTATTTTGGTAATGAAATGTTTCGTACTTGGAGGCCAAAGCTTAACCCTCCATATAATCTTCCCTGCTGGCCCAATAATGGATGTATACCGAGATGGACACTAAGACTTGCACTAGGTGTGTACCAAGGGGCACAGCTGACAGAATCCTGGAGTACTGAACTATTACCCTGAATATGACTGCCTGGAGAGTCCTACAACTACTATAGACCTGAGTAAGCAAGAAGTAAACTTATATGATGTTAAATCTCAGAAATACAATTCTACAGCTTTTAGAACCAAGATTAGATAGTGTTCTCTGTTTTTGGTACTATATGATTCCTGCTGTAGATTGCTAAGTGGGTAGCAGACTAGCAAAATTGTAATCACCATTGCTGTAAAACCATTACACATATCAGTGGAAAACTACTACTTCCCAATCTTTCTTTCTTTTTATACAGAACTTTTTAAATTGCCCAAGTTATCCAGATGTTGCTCAACCTCCTTGTTTGGACATTTCCCCTCCCCCTACTTTACCCAATCAGTTTTAAGGCCTCTCAGGAAGGTTTTACAGACTACATTGGTAAAGAGAGCCCAGCTCTTTCTTCAGAACCCCCAGAGGGTCATTCTGTGGCCAAAGGCCCCAGGATAGTTTGTGTCAGTTATTAATTTACAGGACAGCAGAGTTAAAGGAATTTGTACTTAAGACACCATACTTTATCCTTTGTCTTCTGAAAGGATAGTCCATAACACAAGGGGACTGTGCAAATATTTGTGGGATGAAGAAATGGAGGTACCTTAAGGATGTCACTCAGGAGAATCCTAACAGGAACATAAATCAACAGAAAAGACCGTTTTCCCTTGAAGGCACTGCCAGATCATTAAAAATGGGACAGGCAGAAGGTGAGTTTGTTAGGTTGAAAAGACTTATTTTCTACATGATTTTCTGGTGAGTAAACATGATGACAGAATTACCAGGTAGAAAAAGATCCATTTTACTATTTATCTCTTAGAATGATAATCTAGTTTAAAGATTCCTGTTGTAGAATATTAAAATAAATGCACATACTTTACCTACTGGGCAATGAAAATTTTTTAGGAAAAAATTAGGTTGTCTAAAATATTTGAAATAAACTTTTGGAGTAAATATTTTGTCTAAAATATTTGGAGTAAGCTATTTGGAATAATTAAAAAATTTAAGTTTTTGATATTAAAATAAAGGATTATTTTAAAGGATATTTTTATTCAGCTTTAAGATTCATCAAAAAGATGCATTTTAAAATGAAAGATCAAAGTGGCACTGTGGCTCAAGTTGTAAAGTACTAGCCTTGAGCACAAAGAGGCTCAGGGACAGTGCCTAGGCTCAGAGTTCAAGCCCCAGGAGGGGCTTGAACAAAAAAAAAAGAGTGTGTCGACAATAAAATGAAAGATCACATTCAGAAATAAATAATATATTCCCATGTATTTCATCTTTGACTATTGTAATCTAAAGATGGTGCTTATTTTATGCCATTCAAGATTATAGGCACATGTGATTTTTACATAGATAAAACATTGCATAATTATGTTCAGTTTTAATAAAAATCATATGTTAGTCTCTGAGTTTTAAAAACTAATCCCAGGTAAGCATGTATTTAATTGAAGTCTATGTATAGATTTAAATTGAAGAAAATAAGGAACAGAAAAAACAAGTTCAGAGATATATGCATAATAATTTAATATTTCATCTTCTATAGTATTTTTTCACTTTCAATTTTCAGTGTTCCAAGAAAGAGCTTTATGTCAAAGTACCAAAAATCTTTTTCTTTGGCTGCCAGGAATTCTAGGCCAGGTGACACAGGCTCTCTGATACCTTTGGTATTATCTACTTTTCCTTCTCTTATTTTATTTGTAATTTTACTTTGTTGCCTTTGTTTCCAAATTGTGCAATTATCTAGTAGGGAAGCATAATGTTTGTTAATACATGTATGTTGAAATTGTAAAGTTGTTTTTATACAGAAGTAGCTATTTGTGTAAAACTACTTTGATTTTATTTCACTGGAAAAAAATTTTCTCTTTGTGCTAAAGACAGAAATATACAAAGGAAAAACAGAAAAACTGATAACAGGTTTATGTGTGTGTGTGTGCCTGTGTGTGTGTGCACGTGTAGGTGCACATGCACATGCGTGCCTGTCAGTCCTAGGGCTTGATCTCAGCATCTGGGTGTTGTCTCTGAGCTTTTTTGCTCAAGGCCAGAGTTCTACCATTTGAACCATAGCTCCACTTCTGGCTTCTTAGTGCTTAATTGGAGATATAAGTCTCACAGACTTGTACTGACTTCAAACAATGAGCCTCAGATCTCAGCCTCCTAAATGGGATGGCAGGTGAAAACCCTTGGCACCTGACTTTAAAACAGCTTTTTAAATGATTGTCATGCTTAGTGTACATGCTTAGTATAGTATCTAATGCATGTCCTTTTAATACAAACTGACAAAAATTAGTTTTATCCATTTAAAGTAATTAAACTTTTAAGGCAAATATAAAAGCTGAAGAAGTTGATTTATATAATTTTTAAAAACAATTCTAATGGCCATTTTTGTTCTCCACCATATTTTTATACCATATTTAATGTATAGTATATGAGAGATTTTTTATACTTTTTATTTTCAATACTAACAGAGATAAGCCATATTTTGTTGTTACAAAAAAACTTTTTTTTCATTA